GAGGTGAAACATCTGGATCTGATCTGTCGTGTACCTTCTATTGACGCGTTGACGCGACTCAGAGAAATGAAATTTCACCAATGTCTATGAATCATCAAATGTAGCTCATCAAATGTTCTTTTTAAAGCGGAGGAAAGGTTTGATGTTATGCAGTTCGAGGAGTAACATTATAGTTAGTACAGGTATAAGACCAGGAGTTGTGCTGGAAAGAATAAGTCATAATCGTTGGGATGTGAAGAAAAAATGAAAGCGTGTTCGACAGGAAAACCTGGCCCCGTGTATTTGCCGCTGCAATGACATCCGGTCTTGTGCCGGTAATTGAGTCGATCGTTACTTCCCCTAAGGGGTTCGCTCTCTTTCTTTGTATCAGATTAAAGCCAGTCTCCCCGCCAAAGCAATTTGTTCCTTGTACAGGTAGTCTGGTCCTCAGTCTCTAATGTTGTCCCTCTTCGTTTAGTCTATGAAGTGGTACCATTTTGGTGCTTCCCAGTAAGTAAGACCGTGTTCAGACTCCGCGATCGCGCGACTGAATTGCGCAATCGGGTTGCACGACCACGACAGGGGCACCCCAGCCAAACAGTGCACCTTCGCAACGGCGCAATTCAAATTGGCACTGTGCGAACGCGGGCCAGTTTAAATCGCGGCGGCGCACCGTTTGGCGGTGGAGCGCCTCCGGTCATGGCCGCGCGCTCGATTCGATCGTGCGATCCAATAGAGCAGTCCGATCGCGGATCGCGAACTCTGAACGCGGTATAACGAAGCGCTGCTGCCCTCATGGCAGTTCTGACACCGCCCAGTTTTCCCACCCGCCAGGAATCTGAGGCTATTCTCTGTTACCTTTTTTCACTACTAGATGGTTAAAGCCAGAAAACTATAAGTGAACCAAAGACTGCAGGGTATCGCTTTGCTGGCATAAAACGAGCAAATCCGGACAACTCGTACAGGGAGGCTATTTATTTATTTATTCATGGACACGCATAGATACATGTAACTTGAGAAAGGTAAAACAAACAAACGAACATACAAACAACCAAATTGAACAGCAACAAACTAGTTAAAGCGGAAAAGAAATAATCAAACTAATTTGGTAAGTGATCGTTTGAAGGCACTGAGGTTTTGTGGAATGAGATTGCGGCGTAAGAAGAAATTGTAGCTAGTACGAACTCTGTTGGAGAAAAACAAACACCTGGGTTTGGACCTAGCGACAGCGGTTGAAATCTTACAACGGAACCCCAACAGGTCGATCCGGCCATTTACAATGAGATGTATGTACATGGACGTGTCTTGAGCCGCTGAATCCAAATCTGCCCTCGGAATTTGCGGAACGATTCTCTGAAGGGAGTTACGGACCATTTAATCTCTGCTCTGTTCGCACAAGTTGAGAACGATAACTGCGTGCGGCAAGCGGCCGATGGCGTAGTGGATAGGCGCACTGCTTCAGAGACACAAGGTCGCATGTTGGAATCCTTGACTCTCGAAAGTTTTTGCTTTTATTCAAAACACTTCATATGAGTCCCTAAAACGCTTCTGTTTGGCCAATTTACCTAGTTCTCTTATTTCCCTCAACGGATACGCCAGCTTCGGGCACAAC